TCTCTACCTATCTCTCTCTCTCTCTCTCTCTCTCTCTCTCTCTCACTCTCTCTTTCTCTCTTGATCAGTATCATTAACAACAGTAACGTCAGCAACAGCAAAAATATCGCATGATGGCAGTAGCCAATGTACCTCATGCTACCGTTATGAAAGGTGATAATTAACTACAGGATAAGGTATAGAAACAGATTACCACAATAACTCATGAACATACGTACATATCAGCAAATTAGCTTATTAGGGTGGTGAATTTAGAAATGTACCGTACCGGTACGTAGATACCAGTATAAGTAACAAGCAAGGGTCGACTAAAAACGACAGATTAAAAAACACGTAGCACACATTCGTTGAATTGTTGCCGCCTTTAAATTTACAAATTATCCAGTTCCTTACAGCACCTGTTGTTACCAAATGTCTGCTGTCGGTTGTCATGGAAACTTATCTAATTTTAATCTGTTTGTTCCTACTTTTCTTTGACCTTTCGTCTCTTTTTTTCTATCTCGAATATCAGCTGTCCTTTACCACCAGGGGAATACGTGGCTGCTACCTTGACATGGTAAAATCAGGCGCTCGTCACAATAAGGAAATAAAAGAAACCGGCATTTTTCCAGGCGTTTGCCGATTTTTTTTTTTCAGAATGGCTGAACTCCTTTAATGTCAATTTAAAAACACATTTCTGTGTGGATTTTTCTGAGGAACGTTGATAAAAGGCATAAAAAATGTAAATTTTCAGTTTCCAAGTACTCTCAGGTCATGGAAGTCATCAAACGTTGTGGTTATATTCTTACTAATTTTACTATTCAAATCAGGTGACCCCCCACATCCTCAAATTGCATCTATCTCGACTTCTAGTCATAATAGCTGGTTATATTTTTCATCCAAACGTAGACAAATGAAAATGAACAAGCTTTAAGGTGATACCAATAGCTTCTTATGCCTCAAATTGACGATCGTTTGATTCCACCGCGTCGTTTTTACTTAGGGAAATGTGTAGTTCGAGAAAACAGAAGAAGTAGCAGAAACAGTTGACGGAAGTGGCCACAGACGAGGCTTGTGGTTAGTTGAACAATGATAAAAGAACAGGTTGGATCACGAAGAGTGTTGTAAACGTAAACCAGGAAATATTATTGCAGACAGAGGCTATACTATATATATTCATTCCGAAACACATGTATGTAATACATTGCCCTTTTTTGTACAATTATTAATTATGACGAATAAGAAATTTCAACAGTTTTGTTTTTTTCGAATTTCGTGCAGTCAGGAAAGACAATTTGACTGTATGACAAATAATCTTTCGTTCTATGCTTTTAGAGAGTGGGTGAGAGACAGAGCGATTGAGTGAGTGAGTGAGTGAGTGAGTGAGTGAGTGAGTGAGTGAGTGAGTGAGTGAGTAAGGCAAGGATGGACGGAGGAAGGGAGGGGGCGTGCAAGTGAGTAAGAAAGGGAGTGAGTAAGTGGGTGAGTGATTGAATGAATGAGAAAATGAATGATGGAATGGATGAGTGCATGAGCAAGCGGGCTATACGATCATAATTTTTCCAAGATTGAGAACAGAGGAGTATCAGTAATCAGCAATCCTGTTCTCCTCAAGGCAAACGTGCGAGGACTGATGGGCCAATCCATTAGGCTACAACAAATTTCAATATTGGCCTTAACTCGTGTTTACATTGAGAGAACCCCTGCTGCCTTATCCAGGGAGTATTGAATAATGCTGACAGAGAGTGATGGTCCAGTGGACACTCACGAGGACGGGAAATAAAGAGTGAATTAAAGAGAGACTCGTCAACGACTTGTCCGAACACTGGAATATGAACTGTCTAAAGATGAAGGCCAAAGAGAGGGGCCCCCAGTGTATTCTCCCCTTGGTTCTGCCTGGTATTACAATTTCTTTGCTTGTTTCTTTTTGTCTGTTTGTTTCCATTTTTATTACGAGAAAGGGTAGTTGGGGGGGAGGGGGTGTCAGTTTTATTATTATTATTACTATTATTATTATTATTATTATTGTTATTATTATTATTATTATTATTATTATTATTATTATTATTATTATTATTATTATTATTATTATTGTTATTATCATTATTGTTATTATTGTCATTATTGTGATCATCATTATTGCCATTTGACATATTTCCCCAGCTGGACATGAACAACGAGATGGTGAAAGATCTGCTGAGTTATGAAGGACTGCCCGCTGACCCTGGACCCACGCAGGCCGAGATGTGAGTGGAGGGAACTCTTTATTCATCTGTCTGTTTACTCGTTCCTTTTTCTGTCCATCCTCATGTTTTTGCTTCCATACTTTTTGGTATTTTGTTATTTTTTGTTGTATTTTGTTGGATTCTTTTTCGATTGGAAGTTGTATAAGTTTGGCATCGTAATTTAAGAATGTTTTATTCATTCTCTTCTGGCTCTCACCAGCATTTGTTGCAATCTGGTGTAAAGAGTTAGATTTACCGCAGGACATCTCTCTCTGTGTATGGTAGCTTGTCTGTCTGCTACTTTGGTATGTTGTCTGCCAGAACGTTGAGAAATATGAGGACTCAAATTAACCCTTTGAGCCTTTTGTCCCCCCCCCCCCCTCCCTCCCTCAAGCTTACAGGACCTGTGCATGTGAAGCTTCTAACAGAAGACTTCGAAGACTCCTTGGTTGATGCCTCTTGACACTGATGTTTGGGCTCAGAGATACTTTTTAAATTGTGTTGGGGGAAATTTGAAATCATTATGCCCAATGAATATTGCAGGAGAGTTGATGTAGCCTAGGTTGTAGCTGATTATTTTGTTGGAATGGGTTTTGGTTTGTCTTAAGGGGTATCTATCCACATTTGTCTGTTGCGAGTCCATTTGCTTTTTATTTTCAGCATGTTGATTTAATGTGTAGACTCTTGGTCTCATACTTTTCTCCCCCCCTTTTTTTTTGTCGTTGATTTATTACCATCATCTGTGGTGTAGCCATTATGGACTTTGCCTTAGTGTTCAGAAGATGTAAGTTTGATTCTTTTAAGGGCAAATTTTTAATTGTCTTCTTCCTTTTGTCTTCTGGGACATTGTATTCCCTCTCAGCCCAGTTGGACATTGCAGGCAGGGTGGCAGCAACCGATCTCCTAAATGATTGAGTTGTGCCGATGGGGGGTGCATGCATTTGTGTCTCTGTTTTTATGTCCATCTGAGCAAGGGGATTTGGAAAAAAGTGATCATATTTCACGTTTATTTTCCACAAATAATTAATTTTTTCTCTCTTTATTTTCAAGGCTTGCATCAGAACAACAGGACGAGTTGGCCAAAAATAATGTTCTGGAAAAGAAAATGGCAGATGTGAAACTTCAGGACAGTGCCAACGGTCAAGCTGAGGTGGACTCTGACCTTGACAGGTGAGCCCAGTGATCTATAGAATTTCTGTGAGAGAGTCCAGTGGTTGACTGGTTTTCTTAGAGATCTAGTTGTGTCTATTCTTTAAAAATTCTTTTAAGTTAAAAAAAAAAAGTATCCTGGGTGCCAGGATAGTGGCCTGCTCTTCTACAATTTTCAACCACCAAAGAATCTTTGACTTTGGTTTAACTCTTTGCCCTCATATTTTGTGGAAAATCCAAAACAACTGGCAGGTAAACATGACCAATCTGCGAGATGAGGCGGCAAAGGGTTAGACTTAGGTGGCCTTCTCGGTATAATTGTCTTATATTGACACTGTTCAAGATCCTGCCCTGCCTAAAACAACCACTTTTGTCCTCGACAATGGGTAGCCGTCTTGGAAAATTTGGATGGTTCGACATTTTCTTTCCTGTATATTCTGTGAAATTTGTAAATGAAAAGTTTCAATGACTACACATAAATTTTGTTGGGGTTTTTTTTTTCAGCGATGATGACCTGGTGCCATATGACATGTCCAATGATCTCAAAGTGAAGACGGTCAAGCCACCGAAGTATTTGCGAGAGTGTATGGAAGGTAATGCCTCTTGCCTCTAGTTAGTATCATTTTCATCACCTTTATCATCATCATCATCATCATCATCATCATCATCATCATCATCATCATCATCATCATCATCATCATCATCATCATCATTGTGTACAGCAGATAATGAAACAGTTAAGACAGAGTAGTATTTCCAAAATATTTAATAACAAGTTCAACGTTTCGTCCTTAATGAGCTTCATCAGGAACATACAAAATATCATCATCATCATCATCATCATCATCATCATCATCATCATCATCGTCATTCTTATAGAAAAATAGTAAAAATAAGGAGACTTAAAGTAGTTTTGTTTTATGGGAACTGACAAAATTGTGTGTGTGGTGTTTGCGTGTGCGTGTGTGTGTGTGCGTGTGTGTGTGTGCGTGTGCGTGTGCGCGTTTGTGCTTGCGCGGGTGCATGCGTGTAATATGTGTGTATTTGTCTGTGTTTTTATGTCCGTCTGAGCGAAGGGATTTTGGAAAAGTTGTTTGCTTTTTACATTCCCGTTACTGTCCAGGTCTCCTTTGCATAACTGACAACCTGGACAAAGCTGAGCTGTGCTTGAAGCATGCCGAGGCCATCGTGAGGAAAAAGAGAGATGGACTGGATGAGGTTAGAAAAGATCTGTCTTTGACTATTATGTTCACATTGCTGGAAGATTAATGAGGTCATTCTTTGACTGTTATGTTCACATTGCTTGAAGATTAATGAGCTCATTCTTTGTCTATAATGTTCACATTGCTTGAAGATTAATGAGGTCATTCTTTGACTATCATGTTCACATTGCTTGAAGATTGATGAGGTCATTCTTTGACTGTGTTCACATTGTTTTAAGATTTAGCGTGAGAATTTGTGTTTGGACTTTTAAGAAAATTTGTGGATATTTTTCAGCAAGATATTTATGATTTTGTTCTGTAACCGTTGCTAGTTTATGTATGGCAGTGGTCTACAGCATCATGAAATAATACATCAAAGCAGAGTCTGGGAAAGATGGGGGGTCTGTTGTAGCAAGGAGAAGGGCACCAAATGGCTTAATGGCCTTGGATACAGGTGATTCCAGATGTGCATTTAGGAGAAAATAGTTACAGTTGATAATTTCACATGAAACACCTCATGGGAATGTTCAATACTTTTGTTTAAGTGCTGAAGGTCGGTTGTAGATGTTTTGTGCCAGCTTTGACATGATTTATATCATACAAGGAGCAGGTTGCTTTAACTCGTTTCGGTCGGCTGTTTCTTTTTCATGACTTTCATCGCGTCTGCTGTTTGTTTTATTTGAAAAATTCATATTCTAGTAATTCATTGAAATATTGATATTTTCAGATAGCCGCAGAGTTTGCCAAGATTCTGTTACACATGAGTGACAGCCATGGCATTGAGGATTTCTACATGCTGAGACGGAAAACTCTGGTCGCCCTGGCTGTTACTTCTCCGAAGGAGGTTTGTGTTTTCAGATGATCTATGCCTATAGGCCTATGCATCGTGACAGATGATCTTAAAGTAGTATGCGTGATACAAATTTTCCTGGGCGATAGACATAGAGGAAGTAGATTGCTCAAGCACTACTCCCCTCTTCCTTGATATATTTCAAAGGAGAAGCATGATCAATACTTTTGGAATCAAGGAAGACTTTAGGGTGTCTTACTATTTTTATAGGTGTGATAGGGATATTATTTATGGCAGGGAATTCTGAAATAATTGAATTTTGCCTGTTCTTCAGCAATTTTCAACCAATGAGGGGTATATAATCTGTGCAATGTGCGCACAGGACCTCCGAGATTTTCGTATCATCCAAGAAAACGAGTGCTTGATTTTCGTCCAGCTGATATTCTGTATTTTTTCTTTTCATCGAGATTTTTTTCTTCCAAGCAGGGTGAGGGGTGAGTTGGGGTGTCACAGATTATTCTGCAGTGCATAGGCATTAAGCAGAAGACGCTTGAACTCGAAGGGAAGATTCACAATATACTGCGTTGTTTCTATTATAGCTACCTTTTTCTTTCATCATTGTCAAAAGAATTTTGTCTGAAGCGTGGTGGAATCAGGCTCTCGTCAATTTTGGGGCATGTAGAGTTATTGGTATCATCTTCAAGCTTGTTCACTCATCTTTATTTGGATGGGAAAAAAATCCATTTATCTTGACTACAAGTCGAGATATTGGTGAATGAATGAGGTGGGATCACCTGTTTTCAGAGGTAAAATTAGTGAGAAAATGGCCGCCGAAGATTAGTTATTTCCTTAGCTTAAGAGTCAGTGGTAACTGAAAATTAAAATTTTTTGTGTCTTTAATCAACGTTTTTCTGAAAAAATCCACGCAGAATTGAGTTCTTTAAAGGGCTCGAAAGGTGTTGAGCCAAAAATCAAAAATTTGATAAAACTGCAGAACCTGCAGAAAAATGCAAGTTTCTTCACTTTGATTATTTTGACGAGAGCCTGATTCCACCACGCTGCCTCACAAATGAGTTCCTCTGCTGGGCTTTCTAGGTGGCCGACTACATGACCAGTCAGTTCTACGAGTGGAACTACAACCTCAGACAACGCATGGATGTGCTGGAGGTCAGTTCTCGGTGTTTGTCTCTTCTTTTCCGTAGTCACTCCATCACTTTTGGAGATTAATTCTGAACAGGTGGTTGGAGGGCGCCACTAGTAGGTCTCAGGACCTACTTCATTACATTCCCTCTATTTTTTTCTCTCACTTTTTCCCAGCACTAAATGACCATTATTAAGTCGATGTGCTTCTCTTTAGTCGAACATAAAAAAGAAGATTAATTAACTAAAATGTATTATTCTCGAAAACAAGATTGCTTAGGCAAAGAAATAAGTCAAGGACTTCATCAAAGCAATATCAGTTCTCTCAATGAGTCTCTAGCTCCATGTTTTGGAGGGTTTGTCTAGAAAGAAAGGTCGGCTACTTGTTTGAGGGCTCAACCCATAGGTCCTATTTCTTTTCTTTCCTTCTACTTTTCTGTCGTCTGACTGATTATTCCGCTGCACAAATGGCTGTTTCAGTCAATGTGCTTCTTTTTACTTAACCCTTCCAGCCCCAGCCATTTTTGTGCACTCCCTAACCCCAGCCCCAGCCAATACAGCAGTATTTCAGAACAAGAGGCATTCATTCTAAAAAGTGGTGTAGTATCTTTGTAATGTAGCTTTGATAATAACATATACCTATTTTTAAAGGTAAATGAACAAGTAATAAGAAAATTAAAGTTTAATTAAGTTCGCTAATTTCGAAAAATGTGCGAATTCGGCACCCCCCGAAACTGAGAATATACGCTCTTGGGACGGAGAGAGGTACAAGCGCTGCTGAAAATATACGTGCTTGGGGCTGGAAGGGTTAAACTTAAACAAAGTAATGTGCCTTACGCACGTTTAACACCATCTGCCGAGCTGCTCTTTCCGAGAAAATGTTCATATGTTTTCCCCTCAACCACTGAGGACTCCCATCTAACACGCTTGAAAATGTGCTGTTTGAGGCATAAAAAAAAAGAAAAAGTGTTGCTTCGTTATTTATGCAGATTTTCCCGTTCTGTTTTCTGTGTCTAAAACTTTAAAAAGTAGACAATAACATTCATACAATGAAATATTCAAATTTGTACTTTTAATTCTATGTATGTTGGTTTGAAATGTGCAGCAATATTGCATTTAGTCTGCTGCTCATTGGACATATTGTGTCCGCTACGTTCTTTAAAGAGTTAAAATTATACATCTTCAGGTTTTGGCTGAAGCAGCAGGGGAACTGTCGCATCCGGAGAAAGTGAAACGTACAGAAAAGTTTGTATCTTTTTGTGTTCATTTTTGTAATAGATGGTGGTGTTAGTGTTTGATGTTCTTCTCTATCGGTGTAACTGGAAGAAGCAGGTGGGCTCGGTTTGTTTTTTTTAGATCTGAGATCTACCAGTGGGTCATCAGTTAAAGCAGGAGTCAGCTAACACAGTAAATAGTTTTAAAGCTACTGTGGGCCTATATGTGTATTTTATCTCATAACCTGAATTAGATGGGAATTTTTTTGTGTGTGTGTGTGTTGGAAATTTTCAAGAAACTAATCGACTAGTGTCATGGTTAGAGCATAACTCCATCGGTATCCTGTAAAGATGAATATACTTTACAAAATAAATAGCTGTATCTCAATGTTTTATCAAATTTCCTCTTTTTATATGCCTTCTGACTGTGTAGTAAAATTATGTATGCAGCACTCAATAGGACACTTTGCACAAATGAGAAGTATGGTGGTTCATAGATATTTTTGAGTAAAAAAAAATTCCTTTTTCGCTTTGTGAGTGAAATATATCTTTTTGTTCTTGGTACTTATGTGCTCTACCTTGGCAGATAAAAGACCCTTTGGAATACATTTGAATGCCTCTGTTTTCTATTTGTTCAGCTGGAATTTGTTGTCTAAAGTCGTCAATGCTTTGGCCCACATTTAGAAATAACAAATCAAATCTAATGGTAAAGAGCGTGTATACAGCTGGGTATCATTGGCATATGTCAAAGTTAGAATAACGTTTTCTAAATATATGGCCAAGAAGACTGAGCTCTCCATTTTCTTCTGTCCTGGGCTATAGTCTCCACCTCTGTCCAGCTGTATCCCAACTTCTGTTGGGCTGAATCTCTAAGTCCCTCCTTCAAGTCAGTAGGTCCTTAGCCTACTTCTGCCATAATCATCTGCTTTTTCTACCTAGTGTCTCTTTTTGTAACCTCCCACAATACTAAAGCGTTTTAAGTCTCCAAACTTAAGCCTCTATTTTTCTCTCTATTTTGTGTCATGCTTTCCTTTTTCTGTGACAAGCAAAGAAAAAAATTAACCAAAAACCTAGCTATCACATTTCGTTTGTTTTTCTTAACCAGAGACAAATTGATACAGGAAGTGACCCCAAGCTCTGAGCCGGCGTCGTGGAGAGAGGTGGTCCAGAAAAGAATCGAGAGCAACACGCGCAGATTTGCCAAGGGCAGGACGAGACCGGAGCCAACGGCACAGCTCAATCGGTTCGCCCCGGTGGCCGGTCACTTCTTCTACCCTCTCCTGGTCAAAGTGGACAAACGAGAGCCCTGCCTGGATCTCCTAGGCCAGGACTCAGCCTTGTTGTTTCGGCTCCTGTACACGCTTGCTATCGTGGTTCACGCCGCGTCCAATTTGCCGGTAAGTGTGAGTTACAAGTTTATACCTGAGGACAGTATTTCCTCGAATGTCGTGGGATTAACGTTCCAGAACCTCACGCGATATGAGAATATCTACAAAGTGGAAATGATTTATCATTACATATTTTCTGTCTTTATGTACCTCCCTGCATTCTTATAAACTTTATCCGTGCTTTTATAAACACTTTCTACACTTGGTGTTTTCAGCCCAACTGTATTTAAAGAATTAAATATATTTAACATGCTGAGGGGATCGCATGGGTCCGTGTTGTCATGACCTTGTAAAAAATAACTAGGTGTTTTACACCCCATTGACAGAATTTAGATCATTTGTGAGGCAGCGTGGTGGAATCAGGCTCTCGTCAAAATAATCAGTATGAAGAAACTTAAATTTTTCTGCAGGTTTGTGAATTTTTATAAAATTTTTGTTTTTTTGGTTCAACACCCTTCATGCCCATTAAAGAACTCATTTCTGTGTGGATTTTTCAGAAATTCGTTGATTAAAAGCAAAAAAAATGTAAATTTTCAGTTACCACGGACTCTTAAGCTAAGGAAATAACTAATCTTTGGCGGCCATTTTCTCACTAATTTTACCTCTGAAAACATGTGACCTCCACCTCCTTCTTTCGCAAATATCTCGAGTTGTATTCAAGAAAATGGATATTTTTTTCATCCAAATAAAGACAAGTGAACAAGCTTTAAGATGATACCAATAACTCTACATGCCCAAAAATTGACGAGAGCCTGATTCCACCACGCTGCCTCACATTTAGGCGATGGGCTTCTTAGACCCTGCTTGGTTTGGCCAACCCGAGTTGAGAGGGATATGACATCCAGCAAGCAGTAAGATCGGGATACTCTATAAATATTTTCACTCCCACCGCATGGGAATCGAACTAATAACTTGTGCATGGGACTGTAAAGTGCCTAACTTCTCCACCACAAACGCTGGTGACTCTTATTAATTCAGCTAAGTGTCGGATGGCTTTTTAATTTTTATTTATTTTTTTTTTCAATCTCTCGATGATATTTTTTAACGCCAAAAGTAAATTCTTGTCCCCCCCAGTCTGTCACTCAGATGGGCCGCACACTCCTGGAGTTCACCTGGTCACTTCGAATGCATCAAGATCAGTGAGTACATTTATGTGTACAGTCGAACCAGCTTTAACAACCACCTGTTCACGACAATCACCTGTACAAACGACCACTCCCCCCCCCCTCCTCCCTCATGTGTTTTAAAAAATCTTTTAATGACATTATTCAAAACTTCCACTACAACCACTTTTCTTCTCAACAATGGGTGGCTGTCTTGGACAATTTTGAATGTATTTTGTTCCTATATCTACTTGAATGGGTGGTTAGAGGGTGCCACTGGTATGTTCTTTTTCTTTGTTTTCTTTCCCACTGTGGTTTCTGTTTTCATGGGTGGTTGGAGAGTGCCACTGATACATCCTTCTTCATTTCTTTCCCTCTGTGGTTTCTGTTTTCATGGGTGGTTGGAGAGTGCCACTGATACATCCTTCTTCATTTCTTTCCCTCTGTTTTTTTTTTCTGTTTCTGCCTTTCTTTTTCCCTACCGAAAGTGTGACCTTATTTGTGTCAAAGAGCTTTTCTTTACTCATGCAAACAAACACACAAGCTAACAAACAGACCAACGGAAAAACAACTTTTTTTCATGAGAACTGCTTGGACATTATTGTCTACTTGAGCTTCTGCTTTGCTTTCTTTTGCTGGTTTAAAAAAAAAAAAGTTACGTAGATAATTTAACATAAGTCTGAGAGAATGAAATGGCTGAGGAAGTGACACGTTATGCGTGTTGTTGTTGTTGTTGTTGTTGTTGTTGTTCCCCACAGATCGGTGCGTCATGCCGTGCTCATCGCAACCACCACCGTGTTCCTGTCAGTGCCGGCACATGACATCATGACGGAGCTACACGCAGACATTTCCGAGACGATGACGTGGCTCGAAGGTGGGGGATGCTCGTGTTGTTTACAGAACTGATGTCTTTATGGAATTATTATGTGTGATAACAGGCTCTCAGACCTCACAACCATGAGGTCATAGGTTAAAATCCCAGGGGTGGGGGGGGGGGGGCACATGGTTTGTTCTTAAGAAAGGCGCTTGATACAAATTTTCCTTACTTCACCCAGGTGGAAATGGATACCCGGCTATAGATGTTGTGTGTTAGTGTTTGATTGCTTAGTCAGTTGGATTTACTGTATGCTTCCCAAGAAGCCGAGAATGTTTCTGAGTGTTTGAGGTTCTGCTGAGGTAGTGATAGTTGTAAAACTCTGCGAGTATTGTTAATTAATAATTATTATTACTCTTTGTGTTTGTGTGTTGCTGTGTGTTTGAGTGAATGAGTGTGTGTCTGGGTGTGTGGGTGAGTGTGTGCTTTTGAGTGAATGAGTGTGTGTCTGGGTGTATGGGTGAGTGTGTGCTTTTGAGTGAATGTTTTTATCATGCTGCAGCAAATTTCTCTTTATGGAAATGGATAAAATGCTATCTTATCTCGTTTTGTGTGACTTTCAACGCCAAACTAATCACATGGTATTTTCCATAGATGTGATAGAGAAAGACGCTGACACGGACTGTCAGAAGATGGCGGCTCAGGCTTTGTTGATCTTGCAGGAACAGATGAAGAAAGTAAGACCAGTCAATAGTCAACTGTAGCTTTGTCTAAACGTGGTGAATTTAATCTTGTTTGCAGGCAGATGTTTTAATTTCTTTTTTTCTATTGGAATATCAAATTCTTTGCTTTTTACGCTACTATATGTGAGGCAGCGTGGTGGAATCAGGCTCTCGTCAAAATAATCAAAGTGAAGAAACTTGCGTTTTTTTAAATGGTTTTGTGAATTTTTATCAAATTTTTGTTTTTTGGCTCAACACCTTTCATGCCCATTAAAGAACTCATTTCAGTGCGGATTGTTCTGAAAAATTTTGATTAAAGGCACAAAAACATGTAAATTTTCAGTTACCACGGACTCTTAAGCTAAGGAAATAACTAATCTTTGGCGGCCATTTTCTCACTAATTTTACTTCTGAAAACAGTTGACCCTTACCTCCTTCATTCGCAAATATCTCGACTTGTATTCAAGATAAATGGATATTTTTTTCATCCAAATAAAGACAAGTGAACAAGCTTTAAGATGATACAAATGACTCTACATGACCCAAAATTGACGAGAGCCTGATTCCACCACGCTGCCTCACATATATATACCATTTTCTGTGGTACTTCTAATAACAATTTATATCGACCTTTTTTTTTTTTCACTCTTTGTGAAGGAGTGATTTAGAATTTTTCACGAACAGATGAGTTCATCTTGACATTTCGATATATGAGATGTCCTTGACATAAGGGACACGCTCTCAGGACCTCTGAGGACCTTATCCAAGACTAGTGTCCTTGACCCTAGCTGACCTTGGTTCAGGGCGGTGCATAAAGTGGGAAAAAGAATGGAAAGTTGTCCCCTGACAGTGCTTACTCAAGCACAAGACTTATAAAGGAAATTAGAACTTCTTCATGAAGTGCCTAATTTGAAAAAGACAATGGTGGTCTTGGTTTACTATTCATTTCTCTGCTCGGATGCTCTCAGAATGACCTATTTTATCCTTGTCTTTTCCCGTCACCCAACTGTTCCAAGTTTTTAAAGTTGTTTATGGACTACTCTTGCCTTGTTTGCCGCTTAGTTTGCCAGTGAGAGCTAGTTAGTTAGATGTTTAAGGACTTTATGTCCATTCAAGTGTCCCAGAAACTGCATTTGTCTCTTCCTAGTTGTTTTCATTAGTGAGTGGCTCATTCAGGACTTTTCTGCACTATCTCATTTTAACTGCTACGTGTAAGACTCCACCATACACCATTTGGAAAAGGGATGTATGACAGAGTTTTATACGTAGCAGTCGATTTGTTTGGATTTTTGTTTCTTCCATGAAATTCTCAGCAGTTTTTTGTACATGTATGTAGCTTTTTTGTTTCATTTCTTCTCAGGAGGTAGAGAGCCAATCTTCGTGACTGTGATACATTTTGCAACGACATGAGTGGACCTTTGACAGTATTGAGAGTGGCAGTTTGCCGAGGCCAGAGTGGTTGAAGACAAAAGGGGAACACCAGCGTCTGTGGTGTAGTGGTTAGGCACTTCTCTGTCACGTACAGAAGACCGGAAATTGGTTCCCCAAGTGGTTGGGAGAATTGAAACGTGTGTCTTGATCTTTGTGCTAGGATGCTGACCTGCTTCATCCAGTTGCACAGTTAACGCTTTACAGTCACACAGCCAGCAGCACAAAATACAGCATCTGGTCACCCAGCCAGGAGAGTGACTGCAACGGACTTCTCTTGGCCTGTCGCAGAACTGCATAAATGGACCAGAATGAATAATTTTAACGTTCACATTGTTGCGGCAAGCGACTGTAAAGTGTTAAAATACTTATAATGCTGTCATTATGTGTGTATCGACTGCTCAGTGTAATAGACTTGGGTATACGTTGCTTTTCAAAATGATGTATAGCAGAGTCTTACTCTAAGCAGTCGATGTGAAAATGGCTGAATCGATTAATATGTAGCAAAAGCTGAATGGAGTAAATGTGGCAATGAAGTGAGGACTGAAAGAAATGCTTTGGTGGTGAGAGAAGTTGGCGAACATGCTGAGAGAAAGAGAAAGAAGCAGAGTGAGAGAGGGGAGCGATTGAGAGAGACAGAGAGAGAGAAACAGAGGGAGAGAGAGAGATAGAGAGAGAAATTGAGAGACAAACAGAGGGACAGAGAGAGAGAGAAAGAGAGAGAGAGAGAGACAGAGGCAGGGAGAGAGAGAGAGAGGCAGAGAGAAAAGAAAAATTCAAATATATATATGGAGAGAGAAAGAAAGAGAGAGAGAGAGAGCGAGAGAGTCGTACTACTTAATGAATCATCAAGTGCTGTTTGTTTCTGTGTGCTGTCATTTTCTTGTGCATTTTACGTTCTTGCTGCTTTTCCACCCTGGGAAATATTACTTTGTTTTGTTCAATTAAATTGGTAACAAATACATTTTGTTTCGGTCTTAATTTCTTCTTACTTTGTTATGTAAAATTATCAATAGGCCTAAATATTATGACTTTTCTCTGTTTTCAAAACGTCGTATTTTTACGTGCTTTGCTTAAATTAATGTAGGTGGTTGGCGGGTGCTCTGGTGTGGTTTGCTTCTTCTTTCCTATCAAACGTCTATCGTCTTTATCTCCCCTCCTTCTTTTTTGTGTTTGTTACTCTCTTGTAACACCTACTCTAATCTTTGGCCTTTATATGACCTTATTGTGTTGCAAGTGCCGTAAAACACGTACTAAAACTGAGCATAAATTAATCCTGGCATCTGTGGTGTTGCTGTTAGGTGCTTGCTGTTGTACGCAGACACTCAAGATCGATTCCCGAGATGGCGACTAAGGGGGTGCAAAAAAAACACCATTTAAAATATTTAGAAATATTTTAATAAATAAATAAACTTCCTTTTTTTTGTGTGTAAATAATCCTTAGCCACGTTCCAAGTACACAGAGAAAGAATGACGATAACCGGACGACGATGTCTTTTGTAAGCTTGTAACGAGAAGGGGCATAAGCTAGGAACATAGAGTAATTTATTGGTTAGCCCCCTTGGAACAAAACATTCCCTGAGGTACAGTCTTCATGCGCTTGTAACAAACTCTCACGGCGGTTTTATGAAGGAAAAAAAATCTGAAATTAACCAAACAGCCCAAAAATGTGAAATTATTCGATTCTGTTAATTTTAACAAGGAAGGATAAAGGAAAATAATAAGAAATTATGCCAAAAAATAGTCAAATTTTGCTAAATTATGCAGGGTGCATAAACCCCGGGGACAGAACAAAGACGAAGCAAGTGTATTGATTAAACTCCCCCATCAACAACTAAAAGAGGTTATTTCTATCAGAATTTATCGTCCATCTCCGATACGCATGGCTCAAAGAGGTCAAGAACCTGGAAAAATCCACAAAACGACCCGAATTCTCGAACGCCCGGTGTGGGATTTAAACCAGGGTCTTCTGCAGCTAACGAAGTGCCCCAAGAAAAGATATAAAAGAAGTAGATCTACATGCATTTGCAAAGGTGCAGTTTTTTTGTGTGTGTTTTTTTCTCCCTTTTTGGTCTTTACTTTGGTTTGGAGTTAATTTTTGCTTGTTTTTTTAGATTTGTTAAAACCCTGTAAAGATAACCTGGCTAAAGGGGTTTCCACTCGGCATGTAGCCTGTACAAACATCACACTCTTGAAAAGGTTAAGGTGGTCCGTCATTTGGTGAACTCTGAGTGACACCTCACCATCTTACTAAAATTCTGGAGGGCATTTTTGGACTTTAAATTTGTTGATGATTTAAGGGAGAAAGAAGCTCCACTTCCAGCAAGATAGGGCTGTTGCGGGCTGGGTGAAAACAGAAAGAAAACGTTTAATTTTGATTACTAGTACCTTTTATTTTAATTCTACGAAAGCAATCAAATTTTTAGATTTTAAATATTCATATATATACTGTTTAATGTCCGATGGTAAAAATTTAAAGTGCGCTGTGTTTGTACCAGAGAGCTCGTTTCTATTAGATATGATAGAATTCTTTTTAGACACATCATAATTTTTCATGGAACATCCTTTACAAGACAGTGAGTCCGACTGACTGACCACAACTGGACCCCAGACGATCCGGACCTGAGTCCACTGGACTTTCTTCATTGGGCTGTCCCCGCGGGTTCATGCAAAACAAAAAAGTAATTCTGAAATTATGCAAACTGAGCCCAAAAATGTGAATTTATGCGATTCTGTTAATTTTAACTAAGAATGATAAAGGAAAATAATCAGAAATTATGCAAAAAATGATCAAATTATGCTAGATTATGCGGGGTGCATAAAACCACGGGGACAGATTGGGAGTGTTTGAAGGACAAACTGTGGGAAAACCTTGGAAAGTTTCCAAGACTTGAGAGAGACCATCACGGAGGACACAACAGAGATTTCTCTCGAGCAGTCTCAACGCGTTATTGTCAGTGACGTGTCAGAACATGCTTTACTCGAAATTGAGAATATCTGGAAGATATCTTGTAACTTTGTGGCAGTCATATTTTTTTTGTTATTGATACATAATACATTCGGATGGATGCTTCACGTTTCTGTATATTTTGATGTTTGCACCTTTATTCATAACAGTTCAATCGGCATTCTTTTGGATGAACCTTTTTTTCTGGTCACCCGGTACATGTGGTGTATTTGTTTAATAACTCTTTCTGCTTTCAGTATAACTCTGTTCAAACGTAATAGCTATTGTTAGAGATGTCGCTGTCGAAACACAATTCCGAAATTAATTAATCTTCCAAATACTGTCTTATAGATTGTTTGTATTATTGATTTCAGTCTATTTAGAATGGTTCTAATTTTCTATATATAGAAAATTTATTTATGAATTTTAAAATGATTTTTGTTAAAAAAATTAATATTTATATATAGCTTCTTATTAACCATTTGTTTAATACTGTAAACGTGTTCGTTTCAGGGCTGCTTGTTGTCTGTAGTAGGTATCTGTGTGTGTAGATGGCCTGAACAATCTCGTCAGTTAGTTCTAAGGCTGGAAGGTTATGGTCAGAACGTCTAAACTCAAATATCGTCACTTTGGTTTTGCTCATATCTACCAGAGAGTTTACAGTAATACTATTACTGTAAACCCTCTCTGATATCTACTTTCAGATAGTTATATAAATCTCCCCACCATATAACACACGGATTCATTAAACTACCTTATTTAATGACCACTACTTACTTACCTCTTTGGTTTGAGAATAGGCACCATTGCAGGCGACACAAAGCCATAGCTGCTCCTCCCTCCTTTCCAAGATCCATGAAAGGGTCTGCCAAGATCCATGAAAGGGTCTGCTTGCTGATTGTGCCAGTTAACTGCTGGTTGGATATTCTTCAGAAGAAATAGGATGGATCATTCATCAGCTAATATATTGACGGTGGTATCTATTTGTTTGTTTGCGTAGTCGTTGGTGTATGAGGTATATATATATATATATACAAGAGGACACATGACACAACCCTGAAGTATACCTGTGTCTCTTTTTATAATTTTGGACACCTTTTAACCTAATTTCATAATATGTAACCTGGCACTGAGAAAGTCTAATATTCATGCTGCTTATAATCGTATATATCAGCTTTCAGATTTAACAACGTTTTTATCAGCAAGTGGGGTTGGATCTTGAAAAAAAGGCCAATGAAAAATCAACACATCATATTATAAAGCTCTAGCATAAATCCCTGATGTTTCAATGTGTTTTGTAACGGTAGAAAGAAAAACTATCACAGCATCTGCAACATTTCTTGGTCTCTTCGTAAGAAAATCAAAAAGGAACCAAACGGAATCAGAGCATCATCATTCTTTTTCAAGTTATTGCGCAAGATTTTTTTTCTGAAAAAGCATTTTGTGTCACGAGAGGGTGGAACGAGGCGCTCGGCAGATTTTTTTTGGGGGGCTATGGAGTTATTGATATAATACTGAAGCTTGTTCATTTGTCTTGCCTTTGATAAAAAAAAAAAAATATATATATAAAAATCATACCCGTAGATTTTTAATAGAATTTGAGATATTTGCGATAGAAGTAGATAGGGGTTGCCTGGTGTCAAATGTAAAATTAGCTGCGCCGTCGTTTTATGCAAGAAAAATGCAGAAATTATGCAAACTGAGCCCAAAAATATGAAATTATGCGATTCTGTTAATTTAAACAAAGAATGATAGAAGAAAATAATCCGAAATTATACCCCCCCCCCACCCCCGAAAATTTTTTTTCAAAAATCAAATTTGGCTGAATTATGCGGGGTGCATAAAACCACGAGGACAAAATTAGCGAGATAATGACGGCTTAGAGACTGCAAATTAAAAATTTTTTTTGCTCAATTGATCAACATTTTGGGTAAAATCTCATAACTAATGTGTTTTTCAATGGACTTAAACATTATAGTGTTGAGCCCGAAAAATAAAACTGATAAAAAAATTGCCCTGGCGCTCATATGACCTTATGCAGTTGCGAGAGCCGTAAAACCCTAGACTCTACAAACAAACACAAATTGCCCAACGTGTGGAAACGAAAATGTCGATCTCTTTGATTTTTTATTTTATTTTGACGAGCGCCTGACAGAATGATTTCTCCAAGACGGATCACACTAGAAAATAGAATGCGATACTATATTTCTAAGCCAAGCAACATTTTGGGTACGGTCACTGCTTCTGCTGTACTCCATAAGGACGGACAATTCTGACAAAATAATATACAGAGACGTTTGTTTGTCTGTTTTGTTTGTTTGGTTGGTTGTCTGTTTTTTCATCTTTTTATATTTTTTAAATTATTATTTTGTGTTATTTTTGCTTTTTTTCTATCGTTTTTAGGGGGGGGGGGGGGTGTTTCTTCCTTTTTTCTTTTTTTTTTTGGCTCGTGTCCTCGTTTTTGTGCCGAAATATTTGTACTGTAAGTAACATGTGAAAAAGTTGGTTAAAAATTGTACCACTTTGGTCAAAACAGCCTCTTAGCACTCTCACCCTAATTCTATCAGTGCCAGAAGAGTTGCCAGTTTTCACTTACGCTCTAAATGTATGTTGGGGAAGACCTCACTTCGTTCTACCTGGCTGTCAAACTATTGCACCAGTCGACCTTTCTTTCAAACTCTCTCTCTCTCTCTCTCTCTCTCTCTCTCTCTCTCTCTCTCTCTCTCTCACTTTCTCTCTCTCTCTCTCTCTCTCTCTCTCTCTTTCTCTCTCCCCCTCTGTGTCTCTCTCTCTCTCTCTCACTCTCTCTCTCTCTATCTACCTCTCTCTCTCTCTCTCTCTCTCTCCCAATTTTCGTTGTTCTTTGCTGAATCAGAACAATGGTCAAATCGGCAATAATATGATATAACCAATTTAGATCACTGCTGACCTCTTTCTCCCTCTTTCTCGTTGGTAACAATAATTATTATGACATATTATAAGATGCAACTTTACGAAAACAAAATTCTTTCTACA